AAAGAAGATCTAAGCATATGCGACAGAAGATGAAGTGGAGTCTCGCCCCGAACGCATTGATTGTCTGCTGTGCTCCGCGCGCTTGGCAGACACCAAGACGCTAGGCCCGGTTAGAAACGGTGGCGTTAAAAATCACGTGAGAGAGCTCGGGAACAAAACAGAAAAAACGAGAAAGATCCGCGGGTGTTTTATAAAAAGGGCCGCCGGCAGTATTGGACAAATTCAAGGACCTATCGAGTTTTTCAAGGACCTAAGACGTTTTTCAAGCACTTTCAAGGACCTAAATTTAGCAAAAAAAAAATCAAGGACTTTCAAGGACTCTCAAGGACCGTGGGAACCCTGTTTTATACAAAGCTCTTAATAGGCGCTTAATGTCGAATTAAAAAAGCATTCTACAATGCTCAAGGCTAATTAGAAAAGTATTCTAATTTGGCTGACACCTTTTAGGCTTATTTCAATAAGTCTATATGCTTTCAAACTAATTAAAAAATGTGTAAAACTATTAACCAACACACTTGCTTAGGTTTATTGCAATGAACTTTTAAAAAGCCTACGCACCATAAGCCTTACCTATGCTATGCTTATTGCAAACAGTTCAAAATAAATCAGCAGGCTAATGGAGCAAGATATTTTCCGATTAGCTAAAGGCATATGAGCTCACTGCAGTAAGCCTAATTGATTTGGAAACATTGGATGCTTTTTCAATCAGCCTGGCTGTTTATAAATACCGGGATAATTTAATGAGTCTCTGCAACATAAACCAAATGGAGACGGATGAGATACTCACCAGAGCCTGAACCTGATGTTGTACCATTGATCATGTCTTTGATCGTAGGATCCATGAGTGGGATCATGTTTTCGTGGTTGGCTTCAATGTCTGACCGTGCTTGCCTGAGCTTGTCTTTTTGGTACCACAGGCACAGAACGAATATGAGAATGGCTAACAGTAGGACGACAGGACACATAACAAAGAGGGCGGTCTCGTAAACGCCGAACGTGACCTCATTCGTGACTTCTAGAAAGAATATAATTGAAATTATACATTGAGAACACCAAAGTGCATCGTACAAGTATTAAAATGTCAAGAACAATTTCTTTTCAGGGTGCGTAGCCAGATTTTTTCAACAAAAAATAAGCACCTTTTAAGTATTTTTAAGCACTCAAAAAATATTTTTAATCACTTCCCCCCCTTCCCCCAAAAAATCTAAATTAGAATCTGCGCAGTAATAAAATTTTTTTCTTCTTCTATAGTTTAAAGTTCTTAATTTATAAACATAAAATCAATAAAAATCACAAACATTTTCAAAAACTTTACTACATAATAATGATAAAATAACTAGTTTCTGATAAATATTGCAAAGAAAATTGCGAAAATTATGTATTTTTTGTAAATTTAGGACGACAATCGATACGGCAAAGAAAAAATCTCTTTTTAAAAGATATAAAATTAAGCACTTTTTACAAACCCCGAATTAAAAAAGCACCCTGAAGCACTTTTTAAAAACGCTACGCACCCTGTTTTTACGTTTATAAAAAAAAGAGAAATCAAACAAAAAATGATATGCAAATAATTTAATAGCACACTCACTAGTACCATTAGTAATTCACTAGTACCAAAATAACCATTTTGAACTTTCTTGTAAAACATATGAATAAATAAAAATAATTATTTTTTTTAATTACTAATGGCATTTTTTATTTGACAGAGGTTAGAAAGATGAATAAAATTTAAAGTATATAATTATAAACATCCAATCACCAATCTAAGTTGTATGCTAAAGTAATTCCATTTTAATTTATCGTTATTAAGCATGACAGAAAAAGAAACATTCAGGCAGTACTAAAAATTAAGTAAATATTTTCACTGGTCCAAAGAATCAGTAACTCAAGGATAATAATAGTCAGTGAATATTCTTACAGGTCCGTTTACATCTCTGAAAGGCCCGCAGTGGACTGATCTTAAAGACACGGTTCCGAGTAGAACACCGAAGTCAAGCATCTTAAAGACACTGTTCCCAGTAGAACATCGAAGTCAAACATCTTAAAGACACGGTTCCCAGTAAACACCGAAGTTAAACATCTTAAATACACTGTTAACAGTAGAACACCGAAGTCAAGCATCTTAAAGACACGGTTCCCAGTAGAACACCGAAGCTAAGCATCTTAAAGACACTGTTCCCAGTAGAACACCGAAGTTAAGCATCACTGGCTGCGGTCAGCAAGCGGATGGGTGACCACTATGATCAGCCTGCGAAAGGACCGAGGGTGCGCGGCATGGGTCTTCGTTAAACTGTTCTATCGCAAAGTGCTTGACGTGCGTAGGTCGTTGGGCTACCCAAGCAGAGGAGCCATCCCCTCTGCAGAATCACCATTGCGATGGCATGTCTTCGGATCATCTTCAGGGATGTTACCTAGACCATCGCCAATAGCTAATAGTGTGACGGAAATAAAGTACCTAACCTACATCTCTATAAGACTTTTTTTTAAAAAAAAGGTGACTGAAACACAGAATGAAACACGAAACCAAAAATAAAAAAACCGAAACAGTATACCATTCTTTACATCAATTGCTGGTCCCGGGGATCGCAGATAAATTATTTTTGTGGGTCAGAGTTAAATTTTATTGATCCCGGACCACCGTTCCATTTCGAGTTCTTACATTTATTAAAGTATAATTATAAAGATTACATAATACATTCCAGAAAAGATATCACGTATTCAGGGCAACTATATTATTATTCAGGTTAAGTTAAATTAAAATAAGTATTTTATGTTTCTAAAAATTAAAATTTGTATATAACCAAGATTCAGCATAATTTTTTTTAAAAAAATATATATATATATTTCTTGTAGAATTAAATTTCTATAGTACATTTTTTTCTCCTTCCTATTTTTTTTTCTTCTTTTTTTTAAAGGAGTACTTAGTCTTCTTCCCTATTATTTCTAGATTTCTATCCTATGATCCTTTGTTGCTGGTTTGGGTGGTGACCAATTATGCCTTATGCAGCTGTCAGCGAATGATAAATGAGGGAGAGTTAGTTGAGGTTCCAGAGACAATTACGATTCTGGGCACAAGTTAAATGCAAGAATTTTTTTAAAAAAAATATTTTCTTCTTCCAGTTTTTTTTATTATTATAACCATACGACAAAATTTCTGATTCCAGTCGTTTCTTTTAAATGAAACCGACACATCAAAAGGAAGTATCACCATCAGAATAGTTTAATAGGCAGTTTATTATTATTTTTCAAACTTACGTTTGCAACACTATAATTTAAAGGCGGCAAATGCACATTCTGTAAGAATTTTTTAGATTATAGACGAGCAAAATCTTAACTCCCCCCCTCACCCTTTCAAGTAGACCTTGACCTCTTCGGTGATGTTTTATTAAAATAACAAGCCGCCTTTGTCGATCAGCTTGATCACCTTTCAAAAATATCTTGTGCTATATATAAACTTTAAGCCAACTAAAAAGTAAATTTCTTAAACAAAAGACAACATATACAAAACACTCCTACGGCCTATGATCCTATATGGTAGTGAGTCCTGGGCTCTTAATAAAAAAGAGAACAAATTGCTGATTTTTGAGAGAGGGATACTTTTGGTGCAGTCTATGAGAATAACAAATGGCGCACCCTTTACAATCTTGAGTTATATAAAAAGTATAAACAACCAGACATAGTTCATGTTATTAAGACCAATCGCATTCGATGGCTGGAATTCTATGTAAATGTTGTGATTTATATTTGCAGACACTTTCTCTTATTTCTGTTACTTTATTAATCTATTTTATTTTGTTATTTTTGTCATCAAATCAAGTGCGAGCTTATAAAATGATTATCTCGACTGAGCTGTTCTTTTTCTTTGACAACAACGTATAAATAAAAGCACAATAATAATATACACCGAAGAGCCATTACATTATGACCACCCTGTTAATAACATGTAGGACCACCTTTAGCCCTCAGAAATGCTAGCACCCGCCGTGGCATTGTTTACACAAGGTTCTGATAGGTAGTCTGAGGTATCTGGTACCAAGCGCTCACCAACTGGTCCTGCATTCCATCACATTGCGAGGGGGTAGCGTGGTAGCACAAATTTGGTTTTCCAAGTAGGACCACAAATGCTCTATTGGATTAAGGTCAGGTGAATTTGGGTGTCAAGACATGACTTGAAAGTCACTGGAATGTTCCTCGAACCAATCCATGACGATTCGACCCTTATGACATGGTGCATTATCCTGTTAGTAAACACCATCCCCCACAGGAAAAACTGTTGCCATGAATGGGTGAATCTGGTCTGCAACTATGTTCAAGTAGCTTACAGACGTCAGGGATTGCTCTATGAAGATTATGGGTCCTAATGTGCCCCATGAAAACATTGTTTCTGGGCGAGAAACCATGAAAACCTGGGCGAGCCCATTGTTATAGATGGAGGGTGGTCATAATGTAATGGTTCTTCGGTGTATATAACCCATTTAATAATTATTATAACATTTTAACAACTTATAAACTATTGCACAAAATATCTTAGAAAAGGATGATTTTTCCAATAAGCTTACGAAAAAATTTAATAATTATAAAAAATTCGGACATCATCATTATACCATCATTTGGAATCATTATGTAAAAAAAAAAAAAAAAAAAAAAAAAAAAAAAAAAAAAAAAAAAAAAAACACGAAAAAAAAGTTGCATTATTTTTTGAGTAAATCAGAATTTTGAAAAGAAAGAAAAAAATAAACGTGTGCACATTCATAAGTCTTATAGATTTTGAGCAGCAAAAAAAAACGCGTAACATTAAGCAAAAATTTTTTTTTTAAAAATGTAACGTGAAAAATTGCTATAATTTTCAAGCAAATAGGAATATAAAAGAAAAAAATAAGCTTGTTTTAAGTTCATAAACAAACAGGGTCCTTTCATTATGCCAAATTTCAACCTGGTAGTTGCACTCACGATGCGCCAGCAGAGCGGCACGCGGTGTGTTTTTTCCTACAATTTTAACAGTTAATAATTTTCGAATTAGTTACCGAATGCTAAATGTTTTTATTCCATTATACTTCATGTACATTTTTCTGTGCATCTTCGTAATTCCAAGTTTCTAAGCTATATTTTTTGCGAAGTTAAATGAAATGTAATGTAAAAGTTAATAAAATATTATCTACACGTAGTTCAAAACACAAAGTTTCTGAACAAAACTTAGAAATCAAGATTATAATTTAAAACCCATTTATAAATGTCAGCGTGTTTTAATGACCCCGTATGCAAACCTCACCTGTATCCAAACGCAGAGGATGCAATCAGAAAAAATAGATTTGGCGATATAATTAATAATAGAAGGCCGGTACACTAAGGAGAAGTCCATAAATGGTGTCACGCTTTTATTCAATATTTTTCACAATGTCCCCCGTTTGTCACGAAGTGTCACACTTTACCATACTTCACTTCTTGTCACGCTATGTTATATAAACATATAGTAACAGTTCAGAAACTAAACACGTTATAGATCATATTTCAAATTTTATTTTTAAACTTCCAACTATGCGTCTTAGTGAAATTTGTGAGCATAACAGCCATAATGATTGAATGTGTACTTAATTAGAATGAAAAAATATAAAAAGTTTGAATGATTTTATTCACAAAATGTGCGCCGGCACATTTCGTGGACTGTCCCAAGTATTCATACACCTTTTAATAATAATTAATATAGCGAGGCACTTAAACAGTTCATTTTTTATTTCTCTCTTTCACAAAAGCGAATTTTCAGGATAAATAGAGTATTTGTTAACGCGCATTGTGCAATCGGATCAGATGCAGTTAATATTAACCAATACATTGACACCATTTTGTTCACACAGAACAATGGCAATTTTGTTTCACTCATTTACATACCTTGAGTTTGAACTAAATGAGCAACTATTTTTTTTTCCTCCCACATTTAAAATACTTCATACATTTTTTAAATTTTTGATTTCATTACCATAATCATTTGATTTTTTTTTTATGAATTTTAAAATTTTA